AGTTTTTAAGTTATTTAAACACATAATAGTCCTGTCTCTTATACACATCTAGATGTGTATGAGCATCTAGAAAAACAAATAATAATCAGTCCACAAAAAAAGAGACAGGAGACAAATAAACCAGGACATTATCTGCCACAACATTTAGTCTGCTTTATCAAGGCCTTCGCCCTGCACCCCCGAATACACAACCTTTCTGTATCCACTCGCCCCAACCATGACTACTGGGTTAGTTTACCCAGGGTTGTCCACCACCTACAATAACTTAACCTGACGTTGAAATACTGTAGAGGGCAGCAACCATAAAATTGGTCGATCATATTTTTTTTGTACAAGGTTTATGTCGAAAGTAAATTTACCTTCGCGAAAATGGTATCGCCCAGGCTATTCTTTTGCATTAACGATTTTGCAATGTCTGGCTGCTTTTTGCAAAGCGTGGCTGACCTCGCCTCGCTGCCGGTCTGCAGCAGGATGCAATTGAAAAGGCGCCCTTCCTTTTCCACTAATGGAGGAAAACTGTTTCACTAAGAGTGCGTCCGGCCATGCGATTCTGCGCTGTATTGTTGTTTTATTCTTTACTGATTCATGATTATGCTTTAATTGTTTTGTGTATTATTTGGATAATAGCAACGATCTCTACCGCCACCAAGGAGGTTATGTATTAACCGATGTCACTGTCTGAGTGTCTATTCCAGTTTGTTTTTATATCTAGTATCTTTGTTGAGAATTGGTAATAAAATACGCGACGACTTGGTAACGAAAGTTTGGCACAAGTTTTTTTTAGATCAGCTGTAGGGGGCGTACCATTTTTCGTATTCCCACCATGCATTTCGGTGGAACACGGTGGAACACTTTTTTTGTGTGGAGAACTCTATCTTGTATTTCTAGTATCTTTGTACAGTATATACCCAATGACTGGGTCGAAATTAACCAAGATTCAGCAAAAATTGCCCAAAATTACCCAAGCTTTCTGAAAATTCATTAAAATTTGAAAAAAAAACGTGTTTTTTGCATGTATAGTTTCCCTTTTAGTTCAATTATTTATAAACCATTTTTTATTATAATTGTTTGTGTTAATTATTAAAATGAATATTCATAAGGTAATAATACGGATAGAAAAATACGCCCTCAGTCGGCGAGTGTTATCAGTAGATCAGTGATCAAGTTTTATTAATATGTAATGCATAAAATTAGGTAAGATCAATGGCAACGCAAATCACAAATAAACAATTCTGAACCCATGTTTATAGCATTTAACAGTCAATTAACAATGTTATGTGCACTTCCTTGAGTTTTGCTTACTTGATGGACTGAAATGTACTTTGTTATTTCTTAATTCTTCCTCTATGACAAAAATATTTAATTTTCTAGCAAAAAATTGGTAAAAATAAAATACCCAAGGATTTGAACGGAATACCCAAGCAAGAACCCAAGAGTCGTAATACCCAAGATCTTGGGTAAATACCCAAGCAGTGGTCACACTGGCTGAGTGTGGGAGGATCATTTAACAGTAGTCGGCCAATAGAAAGAGGGGAATTCCTTGTCGCCAGCCGCCTAGGCCCTAGCTAGGCCTATATCCAGGTACTTATTTCCTTTTTCTTATAAAATGGCGGTCAGTTGAACTTTAGAAGCACGTATGGTGCATATTATATAAATATTATATTCTTTGGACTATCACATACATTGAATTCAACAAATTACTGTAAATTTATACACTGCACGTCGCGAACTTTTAAAGCCCCATTCCCGGCAAAATTTCAATTTTTAAGAAAAATCTAATTTTTGTATAATGTTATAAAGATTTATAAATATAATACGGAATTGCTAGTTTAACTGAATTTAGACATTCCTAAGAATGAAAAAAATGCAAAATAAGACTGAAATTTGATTTTTTTTTTTTTTTGTGTTCCACACAAAAAATAAATGCGGATGAATTTTTCATGTTGATTTTGCGATAGGTCGTGAGAAGAAATATCGTAGGCGCCGAAAACATTCTATCCAACGCTGCTGGCTAGGCCTAGCCTTACCTCGATTTTAGGTTCTGTTATCACACATAAAAACGGCCGACATGATATTTTCCGTTGCTAGTATTGACACTTGTGAAATATAATATTTCATAGGAATTATTTCAAATTTGTTAAAAAACTGATTCTGACTGAGATTTTGACAATTAAACAAACATATCTCAGCCTTAGAACCGAACGACCGCATTGTGCGAGATGCGAAGTACAAAAAAAAACTAATCTCATTAGAGAGGGCGCACTTTATTGACTGTATAAAGTATACATAAAAGCGAGAGTATTCCCAGTGGATGCGATCTACAACCTCTGAATTTGCCTAGTAACGATGAATTCGCCGAGGAAATGGTAATATTTTATGAGAAATAGTCAGTATTTCTCATTTTTTTTTATTCTTTTGCGTAAAACTAAAATTCATGCCAATATTTTTCCATGATTTATAATAATTGGAGTAATACAAATGCATATTTTCTAAAAAAAAAAGTCAGTTTTAAGTGGAATTTTTCCGGGAATGGGGCTTTAAATGGAATTAAACTATACAGGAGGCCGCTAACTGTATTATACAATATTATACACAGGAACGCACATCATGCTAGACACAGAACGCGCATCGCGTATGACACAAAATGGCTTCTAAATTCTCAATGTCGCAACTCTTTCTATCTATGGCTCTGTCCGCCCCGCCCCTTGGGCGCCTCTGTACAATGTACATTGCTAAAAAAAAAAAGGTCCCACAAACCCACAGCGTAAAAACATACGCAAACACATGCGTTTGTTGTGGGACACAAATACTATTAGGGCCTACTGGGGGAACATTACAGTCCTGTGCCTGTGGGGGGGGGGGGGGCGCNNGTTTCTTGGCCCTGCTATGATTGAAAGTTGTTAAGTTTTAATATTTAATTTTGATTTTTTTAAAATATCTTTACTTTTCTTTGTTTATTGGCAAATCTTTTTATTTAATTTGTGTTTATATTGAAAGTTGGAGTCGGAACGCACACCATCCGGTGATAGTAGTTTTTGTGCCGCTTTTGCCACTCCTTAGCCCTCCTCTTTCTTTATTGATTTTGTTGTAGGCTACTGTGCTGAAAGGAAGAAAATAAAATAAGTTTGATCTCGTACGTCCAAGGTCCATGAATCCCAAATACGTTAAATCCATCTTTTTGGGAAAAACCAACTTTCTTTTGTCAGATGAAAGGTCAAGTAAAAGCCATAAAAAATATTGCATAATTACCAACCTGAGAGATTAAATGCGTAACTAAACCCAGTTGGCTGGTCTGCCAAGGCCCCCGGTCCCTGGCAGCCCCCAGCTCCGCCCATGGACGGCGAATGCCAGTCACATACGCGCCAATTGGTCAAAGACAAAAATTTTGTCGGTGCATTGATTCTGGAATGAGATAATGAAAGTTCTCTAATGACTCAAGTTTCTGCATGATGTTTTTATAGCTGCGTTAATAAAACAAATTTCTTCAAAATGTTGAATACATTTTCAACCGACCGAAAGGTCCACTGATTAATCTCAGGATACAGGATTTAGCCGCAAGGGAGGGCGCAAAAGTAACGATGGATGACCAATCGAGGTGAGATTTGTTGAAATGGTACGCTTTTTACAGGGCATCATACAACAAAGAAAGGCATACTGTATTATTTAGAAGCTGTCTCTTATACACATCTAGATGTGTATAAGAGACAGGTATAATAGCGCATGAATGGCGCCCTCTTGCTAAATTGGAAACTTTTGAACCTTGACCGACGCTTCTATTTGTTACGCATAAATCGCGGAGAACGCTATCTTGTGTTTATAAGATCTTTGCCCTTGACTCGATACAACCAATTGAGGGCGCTCTTCCGAAAGTTATCTTTAGATTTATTTTGTTTTGTGTACAGATGGAGTGCATGTTCAGGCCTGTGTGAGTTATATTAGTAATGCACTATTATTTGCGTTATGAAACTACCAATCCCAATCAGACAGTTCTGTCGATCATTTTCTGGTTTGCAGTCTCAGCTATTTAGCAGTTTAGCAGGCAGAATTTCCTCACAAACAGAACATTTTAGCCAACGAGCGCTAGGGCTAGGCCATCATCAGTCGTTCAATATTTATGATAAAAAATTCACTTTGTCAAATCGCTTGCCTTCCGGACTTCTACAACTTCTCTGTAGATTTAGGCCTGGGGCTTGTCATTTAAATAAACAGTTTTACTCAACTGCAGGACACAATATGTTTTTAATTCAGAAGCCAATCGTCGTGAGTATGATTTATTTTATTTCATGTAACTATTTCCAATAAGGCTCCAATAATATTAATAGTAATACTACCTAGGCCTTAGCCTAAGCCTAACATTATTAATAATACTAATGGTATTGGTAGGCCAGGCTAAGGTAAAGATACATTATGATGTTATATTATTATTATATGGAAATTAAGTAAAATTAATAATGTTATACAAGAAACAATCAAACTTTCCAGATGGAGTATAACTATGTGTATTTTAATAATTTACTAATCCTGAAATTCTATACATTTTACTACAGGCCTATATTATTTGTTGTTGATTCATTAATTTATCCTCTTTTAAGATTGCCATTGAGGGAAACATTGGAAGCGGTAAAACAAGAATGTTGGAGTTTTTTGAGAAACATGTGCCAGAAGTTGAAACCTTGATGGAGCCTGTACATAAATGGCGGAATTTTAATGGACACAATTTATTAGTAATGAGAATTTGTTGACTATTAAATAACTGTATGGTTAATCTCACACTTATTTTTTATATTATTTTATATATTTAATTTAGAAAAACAGTAAAAAGTGGCCTTAGTGGCATACCTATTTTGGGATCACTATATCTAATAATCTAATCTAGTAATTTATATAGCGCCTTTCTGTACAGATACAAAGCGCTGTAAGTTTTTTCCTGGTCATTGTGTCTACATGCTTAAGTGTAGCTGCCATATTGGCGCAGGAGCAGGCAACCCCACCAGCTACCCATTTATACTCCTGGGTGGAGAGAAGCAATGAAGATATTGTTCCTTGCTCAAGGATACAAGTGAAAAGCACAGCGTGGAATTGAAACCCTAACTTTGAGCTTGGGACATCAAACTGCTTCCACTATAGGGACACTTCATTGGCTGCAAATCCTGAAAAATATGCCCTTTACAATACATCCAACCCTTATTAAGGGGACACATTTTTTGTGTTGAAGGTGTCTCCTCAAGTAGGGTTCTACTGTATTTTTACATAAAACCTGTGTAAGTCTGGAAGAAATATACTCAAGAGCAGAGTTCTTTGTCAATAGCCCACATTCATCCTTGTATACTTGTTAGAAAATATAAATATCCTGTGTTCTCAATTTTTATTGGCTGTAATAGTATAAGACACATAGATGAGCCACATACGCATCTATCAACTCAATGCTTAGAATGCTTGAGAAATGTACATTTTGGGGAAGGCGGTTTGGGCTCAGCGGTTTCTAATCAGGTTATTGAATTTGTGGTCAGGAGTTCAAACCACATGCTGACCAATCCCATTGCCATGCTTAATATTGAAGTGGTTCAAGCCCTACTGTCGGCGCAACCATTTTATGGCATATAAATATGGTAGTTAAATTATAATTACCCATTAATAACTAGAAGTGACTGTCTGGCCTTGTTTGAGGGGATTTAAATTTTTTTTTTTTAAACAGTACAATTGAGCAAAAAATAAATAAACACAAATTTTGTGGATATTTCAGGGTATGATGTATAATGATCCTGAAAGGTGGAGCTTTACATTCCAATCTTACGTACAGTTAACAATGGCTGAAAGTCACCGGACGCCGCAGACCAAGCCTGTTATGATGAGGGAGCGGTCCATATACAGTGCAAAGTATTGCTTTGTGGAAAACTTGTATGAATGGTAAGTGAGCTTACTAACAGATAAAATGACCTTAAACATACACACACTGCTTTCAGAGCAATACAACCTTGATTCATTCAGTTTAATATTCACCAAGGGGTTCTACTTTCAAAATACAGGTATAATAACAATTACAGACGTACAGATTGTCATGGTTATTATAGTACTGGGAAACAATTTCTTTAATAGGCATTGGGAGAAATGAATTTTGTTACACTCAGTTGTTTTAATCATTGTTTATAAATTTTTTTAAACTTCATCCTTAGGATTCAGGATCTCAGTAGGTCAAATATAATCCAACCTGCTTTCAAAGTTGCAGAAAATGGGATGTTAGTGATTTCAAATAAATTTTAATGAATTCATTATTGTTAAGATTGTACAAGGACATTTTGACAGCCGCATTGCTCAGTTCTGCTGAGAGATAAACCTATGTAACGTACTGGCGTGACACTCAACTTGACACATGCAAATTTCAAATTGTGTACTGTAATTTTGGTAGGCCTACCGTAAAACTGTTGTAATCAGGGGCGGATCCAGAGATATCCGAAAGGGGGGGGCCGAAATTTGGGCCGATCGAGACAACAATGTCCGAGGGGGTCCTGGGGCATGCCCTCGTGAAATTTGTGTGTTCTAGACGCCCGAAAATAACATTTGAGGCGTTGTGGGCTATCATTTTTTTT